AGACATACTGTTACTCTCCGTTGTTTACACACTTGCTGGAAGTCTACAAACAACATCTTTCCATCCGCAGCTCAGGCAGCATCTGTCAGCCAGTCCATCAGTGTTACCACAGCCGTCGGATTTCATACGTATTTCAAAGCAAGAGGAGTAGGAAGTGAAAACTGTCATGCAAAAAAAAAAGGTGAAACTGGAATAGGTAAAAACACAACTTTAGCTTGTGAAGTAACACAAGAAGCGCTGATCTAGGCAACTAGACTCACTTCAACACTCTTTTCACAAAAACATACCAGAAACCTTAGTTCTAACAACTTGAAAAGGTCTCTTAAGAATAAAGAAGCTTATTGAGACCTGATTTCCAGAGACATGAAGAAGACCTTAAAACCCCAAGTTCTATGGATCTCAAGAAACCTCTAGAAATATACCTATATACCTTTAAAAAAGACTCTTGAAACCTAAGTTCAATAGACCTTAAGAAGCAACCTAGAAAATCAACAGATCATTTTAAGATCTGAATTTTAGAAAGTCGAGGTCAACAGACCTGAAAAGGTCTGCTGCATGAGAGGTAAAATATCTGAACCTTATTGTGGTTGGATTTTCTAGATCAGTCATGTTTCCTTGGGTGGTTACCACAAGCATCCAACATGATTTACAAAGTGTTGGGGCTGTCCCCTGCAAGTCATGCAGAGGCTAACAGTTCCCTTTGTCCTTTACCGAGGGTAAATGAAAACATAGATTTTTTTAAAGCAACATTATCAAAGAGCTCACTAGTGTAACCTTTAAACATCTGCGGCGTTTGCTAGAAGCACCCAAGCATGGGCCAAAACACAGCTTGTAAAACTCTGTCGACTAAATATGTGAAACATTTCCTTCCGCGCCAGTGGTTAAAGCAGGTGTGGAAGATTTATGGGTATCCATACCTAACGAGTCTGAGTCACAGTGGAAATAAAATTAAAACACCTCCACCCTTTAACCACAAGTCTGACGTCAGCGCTTGCCCACTGAACAGCAGGTTATCACACACATATGCACACAAGGAGCCAGTAATGAGGTCGGAGGCCCCAGTGGAGCTGTCTGTCAGGAGTCGGCCTTCAACACCGTACATACATTATGGCACGAAGCAGCTCTTCATTCAAATATTTTGGTGTGAGGAAATGCTTTTAAAAAAGACAAAAGGTCAACATGAGCTGCAATTATTTTTTTAATGACAATTCATCTAATGTTTATTCCCTTTAATAGTCCATGTGTCCTTCTTCCCAAAAAGTCAAGTTTTATTTAATTAAGTTTCGTACAGTACACTTAACCTGGTAACCTGTTTAATTGATTAATTCAACTGTATCGCTTCAGCAAGGACACTTCAACAAATGTGATAAATGTCAAATCTCCACTAAAGTCCACTCACCTGTAACAACTCTACAATCAAGCACTCGTGCATCAGATCGACTTTAGCTGCATCGGTCGCGCACTTTTATCCCTTATCGACTAATTCCCCGAAACAAAAGGCTGAAGGGGGAATCGAACCCCAAACCTTTTAGTCAGAAACAGACCTCACTCTACCCACTGATGCACAGCATATACTGACATGACTGTAAACCAGTCTGCCTTGAGGCGGTAACACACGTGAAAAAAAAAAAAAAAACGCTGCTCGCTCTGTTCACATGCTTCTTATATGACTGTTTTTCTGAGTCACACACACACACACTACCGTGTGCGCGCGGGTGTGACAGTGTACAGTATGGGTGACGTCAGCGCACCATTCATGAACACCCCCCCCCTCCTCTTCCTCTACCTCTTCACTACGTACTGTAGCTGCCAATGATACAACACACCACGTGGGGGTCCTTACCCCCTTTTGCAGCCAATCGGAGTGCAGCGCTTAACACAGCAGAAATGTACACACACACACACACACACACACACACCACGCTACACCACACCCCCACCTGCACACGTGCGCTCATGTACACATGTAAGGCTGTGGAGGTCTGCGTGCTCGGGTTTCACATGACACAGTTAGAGATGATACGTGGTAACACACACACACACACACACACACACACACGCACACGCACACGTACATCTGACGTGTGTGAGCAAAAATAAGAAAGAAAACAAAAGTCTGTCGTCAGGATGTGAGGAAGGAGATGACGAGAGATGAATTAGGTGGAATAAAGGGTTTTTGTGGATGTAAAATTGTACCGACTGAGGATTGTGGGAAAAGGAGCGATGGATGGGACGCAGGGGGGGGGCGGGAGGTAATGGGTGATGGAGAGAAGAAGAAAAAAAAAAAAAATCATCCCCGCTCGCTTGTAAACAACCACTGTCTCTGGGCAGGAGACGAGAAGGGAAAGCCTCAGAGAGAGACAGAGGGGGGAGGGGGGGGGGGGCCAGAGGTAAAGGGTGAAGGAGAAAAGAAAAAAAAAAAATCCTCGCGGCTCTCTTGTAAACACCCACTGTCTCTGGGCAGGAGACGAGAAGGGAAAGCCTCATAGAGAGACAGAGGGAGAGAGAGGGAGAGGGAGAAAGAAAAGGAAGGGGGGGGGAGGAGGGGGGGAGAGGGGGGGGGGGGGGAAAGAAAAGGAAGGGGGGGGGAGGAGGGGGGGAGAGGGGGGGGATGTGTGTTTGTGTAAGAGTAAAGAGAGAGAGAGAGAGTCGAAAGAGCACGGTGCATTCACACTCCCCTTTGCTTCAATCTGGGTTTAAGTTGAAGATGTTGGCTTTGTGCACTGACAGCGATGGTGATGGTGATTGATTTGGGAGTGTGTGTGTGTGTGTGTGTGTGTATACACAGGAGTGTGTCGTGGAGGGTGTGCTGTGACACCCGGGAACGCTTCACAAGCCCCTGGATGATTCCTGGTTAATTGATTCAAGACTACCACCGGTTCAGTTTCAGTTTCAGTCTCTGTCACACACACACACACACACACACACACTCTACCATAAATACATAAATGAACAACCATCCGACTGTCAGCATACGCAGCAGCAGCAGCAGCAGCAGCAGCAGCCGCAGCAGCTCCTCCGTCCACATGTTCCCTCCCTGTGTGGCCGTAGTCATTTTTAGTTAAGGATGAACGCAGCCGAGCCCCCATCCCAACACCAACACCAACACCAACCCAGGAATTTAGATAGGGCTCTGGCTTTGACTGAGGTAAACAACAGCCCACACACCCACCCTGCTTCGACGTCTACTGGAACCAAGTTGTAGCTGCACGGCACGGAGGATGTGGAGATGGAGGGAGGAGGAGGGAGAAGGGCTCGGGGAGGCAGGAGGAGTAGTTGGTCTACTTCTGAGCGCAAGTGTCAGTGTGTGTGTTTACACGTTGCGTGCTCAGACTTCCTAAATACACTGCTATCAACTCTGGGTTATATATAAAAGCGGCAAAGTAGCTGTTGACATTATACTGTGCGCCGACAGCGTGGACCTGCCAGTTACATCGATGTCAACAGTTTGTGATCCTAGATCAGATTTATGTCTGATGTGCCATCAGTCATTCATATGACAAGTCTGAAGCTTTCAGTCTTTACACATGAACCCCAGCACAATTGAGCCGAATGGAGCAGGATCTGAGATCTGACACTTTAGCTTTAGTCCAAAGACTCCGTTAGCTAGTCATTTTTCCAAAGAAATTACATAATGACATCTTCAAAAATTATTACAGGTCTTAGTCAGTATGGTGAAAAATTATCTCATGTACATAATGACATCTTCAAAAATTATTATTATTATTATCTCATTCCAAAAATGCACAACTTGTTTTTCTATTGTTAATACCACCCAAACAAACAGTTCGCCCCCTGCTGGAGACTACAAGTATCAATAGTGAAGTGTAAAACAGGAGAGCTCATTACTTTGTTTATATAAAATGTGCTCTCTGATTTAAAGTACATCAGCAAGCACACAATACACTGGCACATTTGACACAGTGAATCCACAGTGCTGTAAATTCAGCTTCAGGTCAGATGCCAGGTTTGCATCAGAGCAGCCTCACTGAGCTCAGGCCAGTAAGGCAGTCTACAGCTGACAGGATGACTGACTCAACTGTCAAATGGACTGGGAGGAACTGTAAATCGAAAATTGTTTTGGAGGACATTGGCTCGACCAAAGTTTTGACATGTTCTACAAGCCACGAAAAAAAGATGCACAGTAACGACTTCAGTTTACCAACTCCTGAAGCTAAACTAATAACGCCATCATTTGGATATGTTACAAAAAAAAACAAAAAAACACAAACACCTACTGATAATGTTTGTCTGTACAGAAATACGTACAATTTAAACATCAATTAATCACGATTAATCGTGATTACGCACGATCACGATTAATGGGTTATCAGATTAAACATTCGAATCGTTTCACAGCCTTAATACATTTGTATTTAAACATGTGTTTAATTCTAATGAAACCCCATCCTATGCCCTCCGTGCGCGTCCGTGCGCGCATGCACGTGCAGCAGTGTTTTCCTGTTCTCACGTGCAAGTTCAGCCTTCACCTAAGCAGCAACAAAAATTCACTTTGAAAAATAAATTCACCTAAGCAGCAACAAAAATTCACTTTAAAAAATAAATTTAAAAAAAAAACTATAAATAATAATAATAATAATGATGATGATGATGATGATGACGATTCCACTTGAACACTCCTCCCCTCCCTCCTCCTCCCCTTGATTCCCACTGGGGGGCGCGTAGATCAGGCGATATTTGCAACACAACACGGCCAAGTTTACGTGGTTCGTTTCCCCTCGGCGTGTGAAACGGTGCGGACATTCAAACGCTGCATCAGTCGTGCGCGCACGCAGAGACAAAAACTGCACAGCCCTCCTTTCCTCACAGTTCGAGCCGCTGAGTGTCAATGACAAGCCCGCTGCAAAAGTGCGATGGTGCCAGGCTGCTGCTGCTGCTGCTGCTGCTAGTGCTACAGCGGTGCTAGGCTAACAGCAGCGCTGGGTGCACTTCTGTGCAACACTCCCACTTTCACATTTACGCACATTAGTGGCATTTACCTTGATGGCGGTCAGCTTCGCAGATGCAGGGACGTCCTCCTCGGTGCAGATTATGAGGAGATCATTGGAAGCCGGAGACAGGCACATGTAGTTTCATGGTGGAAGAGGAGGGTTTATAGCACTCGCTCACTTTACTTCACTTTGCCAACTCGCTGTTGCCCTGCTGCTAGCCGTGCTGCTAAAACAGCCCCGACTCCGGTGTATAATCCAGGCTGGGTGACAGACAGGGGCACGGTCGCTTCCTCTCTCACGGTGCGCGGTGACAGCACGTCAGCTCCAAGTCCAAGATCCGAAATAATCCCCTCCTTTTCCCACAACCCACCTCCGAGAAAAAAAAAAGAAAAGTGTCTGCAGCCACACCAACTTAAACAGCCTTCAAAAGTCAACAACAAACACAGCGGGGATGGTTCTACAGCAGCTGGTACTGATGAGGGTACTGATGAGGGTACTGATGGTGACCGTGTGTGCGCGCAGCATGTCGCATTTTGCAAAAGCAGCCCCCCGATCGCGGTGGCGGTGGTGGTTTCCTCTCCGGTGCCAGTGGTACACGAGAGGAGGAGGAGAAGAATAAGAAAGTGGAGGAAAAAAAAATAAAGAGATGCTTTCGTTCCAAACGATGAGTCAGAAAAGATCGCACTCCAGTTTCGTAACGTGCCTCCGTCCAGAACCAAACATTTGTGTGTGCTCGTCTTCACTTCAGCCTCTGACTCTGACTCTCAGTGCGCTCTGCTGCTCCGCACAGGCGGGTCCTGTCTTGCAACCTCTCCTCCCACCTGCAGAAAAAAACAGACAACACACGGAGGGAGAGAGGAGGAAGAGGAATCAGCTTCTATCATCAGCTTGAAAACTCTTTTGGCGCCATATTTATGGCGTACTTTCAATTCGGTGCTACCGCAGGCTGCACTTCCTCCTTTGAGGAAAGGCTGGGAGAGTGCGCCGCGGAGAGGAGAGGACGCGCATTGACGCTCCATCCACCTGCTCTGCTGTCATCATCAGCCCCACACTTTCTGGTGACTCAGGCAAAAACAAAACGCGCAGATTGTCGTCTCCACCTTTTCCTTTTTCTTTTTTTTCTTTTAACTTGGCACTTAATAGGTTTTTTTTCTAAAATATATTTCGTATTATTTATACGTAATATTTATATTTCTTGTTTTTGCGCAAAACTTTGCCCAATAATTCTAAGAGAAAAGTCGAGAGCAGTTAAGAAATAGTGTGAGTCTGTCTGACGTGGCGACCCCTACAGGCAACATTCTCAGGATTGATTCGATCGGAACTTATCAAATAAAGTTTCCCCGACTTTTTTTCTGGGGACCCATATTTTAAAAGTCAGTAGTCATTATTCGTAAACTCCTGGGAAACGATGCAAAACGACCGCAAAAAAATCTCTTGGGACCCACCTGAGGGTCACGACCCAGTCTTTGAGAAACAATGAAATAAAGTGTTCAATTCTCACTGCTAATTGCCGTCACACTGATCGGCAGCTGGAGACTTCTTTGCAGCTGAGGGACTGCAATGGTACTTTACTGTAAGAGATAATGTCTCTCCGGCAGCGATCGGTTCCCTTTAAAGCCATCCAACGGAAATGGCAGGGAAGTAAATTACCTTCCTTGACATTTTCCCTTAAAAAATCCATACTTAAATGGGAAGAGGGTGTTTGATCAATGCATAATCTAGTGCCATCCACTGGCACTCTGTCACCGCCTCTGGAAGATCTGACGTTGGAACAGTCGAACCTCCCCTGACCTATCAGTCTGCCCATCCATCACACTGAGTGACTCCGCGGTGACAGACGCTGGCTGATCTTCACGTCTCTGTTTCATATCTGATAAAACCTGAGGTCAATTTGTCAAAATGCGGCGATATGGATAAATAAAATACAGACACGCAGAATATCAGGGTGCATCATGGGAAACACTGGGGTGGCTGGGAGGTGAGCGGTGTTCGGCACAAACCAGCTGGTGAAGGACACGGGGAGGGGATTTTCATGGCCCACATTCAACACCCAACAGCAGCGTCCCACCGTTCGTCCTCCCCTCCACCTCACGCAGGTACACACCAGGCAGCGTCCCCCGACCCCCCCCCCCCACCGCCCGTGACCCTCTCCATGCTCCTCCTAATGGGCACTAATGCATTATCCTGCCTGCTGATACTCACACACACATTGTGTTTCTTCCTCTGTGGACGGCGGAGTCGCACAGGCTCCGGGGTCAAATGCTGTCTTTAGTGGTGGCGGTGGTAGGTTTTATTGGCAGCCTGCAGCAGCTGGGTGACTTGTACTGTAGCGCATCGTTCAATCATCAGTCACGTCAATTCAAAAAGATAGGCGTGAGCTGCTAATGAGTGCAGCGCTGCTGTGGGATGGAGGTACGGAGAAGGTCGAGGGAAGTTCAAGGACACAGGGGTCGCAGCGCTGTTGACGTAATGGTTTTAATGCTGCAAAATGATGACGCCAGTGTTTTTATTTTTACGTAATATTTCCGTTTTTTAAAGCACATCTAGCCTCTTAATATCTATGACTGCAGTGAAATTAAATGATTTGGAAAATAATATAAAATAATGTTCAGCTGCTTCAGGAGTATTTCTGTGCCATTTACTCAATAACAACCTGCAGTACTGTACTGTATTATATCATATCCTATACTATATTAACTATATTATATATTTTATGTTGTATTGTATTCCACGGGTGTCAAACTCATTTTGGTTCACAGCCCGCATACAACCTACTTAGCTGTCAAGTGGGCCGGACCAGTACAATCATAACAAAATTAACTATAAATAACAATAAGTCCATGCAAATAAGTACACAAATATTACAGCACTTAATTATATTTAATTATTATTTTTTTGATTAATTATAATGAAATGTATTTTTACAAAACATTTCCTGAAAATAAGTTGTATTTTAGTCAATTTAGTCAAAGTTCATCAAGTGGGCCGGATTGAAACCCCGAGCGGGCTGCTTTTGGCCCACGGGCCGTATGTTTAACACCCTTGCTGTATTCGATAAGTATGGACTACTTTTGAGCGAGCAGTAGCCATGAACTTGTTTGTTTTTTTATTTTACACTACTCAAAGTTCAATCCTCCGTACAGGAGTATTTAAGTATTTTTTGACATAATTAAACTAGTTTAAAAAAAAAAGAAAGAGGTGAAATTTATTTAAGTATTTTTTGACATAATTAAATTTAAAACTAGTTTAAAAAAAAAGAAAGAGGTGAAATGAATGCAAATGTGACATCAACAGAGGGGAAAGTGTTGCAGCACGATGTGGATATCAAGTTCCTCCGACTGCTGTTCTAACAATAAGGGACAGGAAAGCCTCTCTCCTCAGCAGTCCCTCAGGTCTGAGCCTCCTTCAGGACCGCCTGTGGTCTCCGTGTGTTCTCCGGTTTGACTTTACTCTTCAGCGAGTGTACATTAGGTGACTCATCAAAACCAGCCATCTGCCAGAGCGCAGTGTAATACTCAGTCTGATGCTGATCAGACTGAGTCAGAGGGGCAGAGCCGAGCCATAAACTTAATGGGTTAGTTCACTCGCTAAGGCCTCGACTTGTATGATTTGGAAGTCGACCAAAATGTAGAATATTCCGGGGAGGCGCTGGTGGTTCCTGCTGGTGTAATATGAGAGGAGGTGAAAGTGCAGGTTTTATGAGTGTGTGTTTTTTCTGCTCACTTTCCAGGACTCAAAACACGGAGGGGGAAATGACAGAGGGGGAACATTTCAAGGACCACCTTTAGAGGAATCTAGCCTCGGATCGGTGTCAGGTGTTAATGTGAATGTGGTGTTAATGTGTGTAAGTCTGTGTCATTTTGGAACCTACTGTATCTGAGACCATTTTTCAGGGCCGCTCGTTCTAATGGGGAAACAAAAATCACGCTAAAAACAGCAGAGCATCAAATTTTTGCAAATTAAAAGTTAAGACTTAGTCAAAAGATAAAACATTAACCAAAATAACGTAACAGGGAAAAAAATGTAGAAATGACATCCAAATTGTTTGTGGTCAAAGGCTAGGTTTAAAATCGGTTCTGACTTAAGGACATGTTGTGTAAAAGACCAATAATTGAATTTATGAATGAATTCATTGGTTCACTGGCTGCATACGACCTAATTAGATGTCAAGTGGCTGCAGCACTACAATGATCAAATTAGCATAAGTCCATGTTTTGCCACCTTTTTTAATGCAAAAAAGTATATTATAACGACTGACGATTTAATTTGTACCTGTCCGCATTAGCACGATCGTATAGTTAGCTTCGTCTTAGCTTCACGTGTGAAAAATGACTTCATAACCTTCCTACAGGTGAGGCCACCCTGTCATCAGATCGCACCAACACTGTCAGGGTGCACATTCAAATATCTCCTGTCTGGATCTGCACAGACGTTACTTCACACCTGCAAGTCTGACTGTTGTTTCAACCTGCTGTGACCGAGTTGCTCCTGCTGGGAAATTCACACCAGGATTTCTGGAGAAAAATGACACCATGAAAAAGACGTGACAGAAGCCCTCATGCTGTATATGACCAGGAAAAACTGTTGACATTGTAGTGTCATAAAATATACATACAGTAGTGCAGTATTCTCCAGGTGCTTTAATGAAGGGGTCCCCAACCCCTGGTTCGGGGACCGGTGTTGGTCCATAGGTCATTTAGTACGGGGCCGCTGTGGAACACAGGTTTTTCATTAAAAGACAATGTTTCAAAATATTAAGCCATTCCGACTCTGATACTAACAGAATAAAGTCTAATTTAGAAAATTTAGTGATCCGGTCCGCAGTAACGGCTGATACCAACTGACCCGTCCTTGGTACAAAAAAGATTTATGACTGCTGCTTTAATGCATTAAATATTTAATGCAGTATTTGAACTTGCTATCTTTATTAAAAACTGCTCAACTTTGTGAATATCTTTAAATTGTCGATCAAAAATATAAAGATCTTATAAAAATAGAAGAAATAAAATGAAACGCTGTATTGTATTTTGTATTTCTTTTTGCCTTTATTTTCAGTGTATTTTTCAAGATAAAAAAAACGATACCGGTCTCTACAGTATTTAAAATTAATGTGTACCAGGTGTTTTTGTGTATAGAAGAGCAGTGTGGGTATTTTATGCTGCAGGAAATATGATCTGCTGATCTTATAAAAATAGAAGAAATAAAATATTTATTATATATATATACTGTATTTCTTTTTGCCTTTATTTTCAGTGTATTTTTCAAGATAAAAAAAACGATACCGGTCTCTACAGTATTTAAAATGAATGTGTACCAGGTGTTTTTGTGTATAGAAGAGCAGTGTGGGTATTTTATGCTGCAGGAAATATGATCTGCTCCTTATTTTAGGAATATTATCCTGGTGAATATTTCACGAATATTCCTTATTTTAGGAATATTATCCTGGTGGATATTTCACGAATATTTTGTCACGTCATACTGTTTATATTTATATTTACCTTATAGTTTATCTCAACGCACTTTTGTACTAAACTATTCACATAGTATATTTATCATTAGTTTATATTTAGCACAATGTCTGTTCTGTTCTGCACTACCTATATACATATGTATGTAGACATACTTCAAGTTATTACTCATGGCCTACAAGCTGTGTACTTTGTACTGTGTACTCCGGTTGCCAAGCAACGACATTTCGTTGCCAGACTGAGTGTTTTCCTGTGTTTCTGTGCAATGACAGTAAAGAAAGTTTAAGCCTAAGTCTAAATCTGCCTGCGAGGCATTTACGTATTAAGTCTAAGTCTAAATCTGCCTGCGAGGGATTTACGTGTGTGCTGGAAAACCCTGAGCTTGCAGTTTTGCCATTAAACCACTAGGTGGGATACGTGCTATTTATATTAATACTATATACTGTATTATGTAATACATCACGTTTCAATTGAAGTGTAAAATGTTTCGGTTGACGTTGAATGACGTCAGGTTGATATAGTATATTATACTATCGGAGAATAGACCGGAAGTCAGTTTCAAATGTTCATAATGTCGTCATAATAAATGTTATTTTAACGACCCATAACACCGTCCACAATTTATCCTAATTATTGGTTTGGTTTAAAACGCAGTGGAAGACAAAAACATGTCCACGTCCCTGCCACCTGTAACCCCTGAAGCCCCTGTGGTTTTGTTTGTAATTTGTAATAAAAAGGTTTGTAATTGGTTCTCAAATAATAAAAGCAATTAATGTCTCGACTCTTCCTCAAATGCTCATTCTTTCTATAATATTAATTGTTATGGTTATATTTGTTGATATTTTGGCCATTTTAGCCTCTATTATTTTCTGTAGAACAACATAGATTTACATTTACCAGAGCAAGCTCAAACAGGGTTCCCTGGTCGACTTTAAGGAACCGCTGGTCCCACACAGGAATGTCATCCGTCCTTGTCTCTTTGTTCTCGTCTTCCTCGGAAACAGGAGGGTCGTCTTGGTGATGAAAACAAATATGTTTGCAATCACAAAATCCGCTCTGCAACAACACAGCCATAACAACAAGACGGGTTAATGTGGTTGCTTCACTGTTCCGTTCCACAGAAACAACTTTAATTAACTTAGAACTAAACAGCAACATGTAACAGAATATTCATTAGCTTTGATTAAAGTTCTTTGAAAACAAATCAGCAATAAAGTAGATGGGAATCAAAATGACCAGATTTAGTCAAGCGTGTCCAAGTTAAACTTCAATGCAGAAAAACAAAGATAGAATTTTCTGAAGAAAAACTTTAAATGACCAACAACTTTAAACAGCAAATTATTTATATTATGTAGGTTAATAATAATAATACATTTATACAGTTATACAAACCGTAAAAAAAAAGTCAAATTGTCCAACCAAAACAAACAAAAACTTTAAATGATAAATGATATTAAATGATCAGAAACACTGATAAGAAAAAAAAATGGAGGGACCATGCGGTCGGGCCTCACGGCAGTGAAAAGTGATCTCATCAGAGTACTTGTGTGTATTCTGTCTTTGATCATCCTTCCCTATTCAATCATCAAATACCTTAGGTGTCTGGATATAACATGTAACGTATGGTAAGAAGAGACAGACGATGACTTTTGAATGTGGAAAACCTAGAGGGAAAGAACAGTAATTCAACCCAAACAACACTGACCTCACTGTGAACCACAGGGCTAGAAGTGCTGTGTAATAATACTGCAGTACCCCTACTTTGATGAACTGATGAGGTTTAGTACAATAGTATATTTACTCAATACAAAGTAATTATATTGTCCTCAATCTAGTAAGTAAGTTCGGAAATGATGTGTAAAATACATGGATGTCTATAGAAGAACTAAAGAAGAGGATTAGTTTAAATAAAATAAGATAAATTTGTTAAAAGAAACTATAAGAAAAGAAACAACCACTGCTCTATTGAATGTATCGTTTCGACTCTAATCCAGAAGAGGGCGGTGTTTCAACCTACCCTTGTTATCAATGAACCGGAAATTAACCCAAAGTAGAAAAAAGCCGGAACTAGTGTGCCTCCGGTTCAAATCAAGATGTCTAACCAGGACGTAGAGGATTTTATTCAGCAGAACCGAGCCTTAGTGGATCAAGTGGAGACCTACCGGGGATACTGGGAGAGTGAAAAGCACTGGGAGGCCCGGAGAGAGTTCATCATGAGGAACTTTAACGAGTTTACCTCAGAGCAGCTGGATCATCTGCTCTCTCTGTCCATGGTGTGGGCCAACAATGTCTTCTTAGGCTGTCGGTGCGTAAACAAAACCTCGTTTTATGAACTCGTGTTCGCTGAGGGTTTCTGCCTTAATATTATCATTAATATTGTAATAATTATTATTATTATGGTTTTTAAGCTCACCTGACTTGACTAAAGTGACCAAAACTGGTTCTTTTTCCAGAGTAACGAATCTTCTTCTTCATCTGTTTTCACACTTGTTAAGCTCACTGTTGCCCCCTATGGCCATAAATTCAATGCATGGCTTTCCTTCTGGAGTTTTTACACCAAAGATGCAAATATCAAAACAGTGACTTTTTTTTTTTGACGTTTAAGGATGCTAGAATTAAAAAATGATTGTAAATGTTCATGCCGCTTGTTGAAATAATAATTTGGAAGAAATGTTTAAATTATTTTTCCATGTCAGTACATATATTGTAATAGTATTTACCTTGTGCTTGAAAGCATCATTTGGAAGATGACCTTTGAAATTCCAGAGATAAAGATTCCCAGTGCCTCTATGCATTATTGCACTTAACTGTGCTAAAAAACATTGTAAATGCCTCACACTTGCCGTGATGACTCCTGGTCGTGGTAGCTGAAAATGAATTAGCCTTTTCCATCCTTCGTAGGTACAGTGAAGAGCTGCTAGAGAAAGTGAAGGAAATGGCTGAAGGTATTGTGGTGGTGGACGCACCAGTCTTCAAGACGAGAGATGAAATTATGAAGAAGCAACAGGTGAGTTTATGGAGACACACACACACACACACACAGATGTCCAGTACTAGTAACAATTGTGAACTTACTCCTCTCTTTCAGGGTTTGTGACCAACCTGGCTGTCTTCTCATCTGCTCGTTCTGGTTCTGAGCTGATGAACTCGGCTGTAAATTATTTGCAGGCTGTGCTTGCAACACGTCAGATCTACATTTCACTGACTTTTAGTGTTTTGGTTTTTTTAACCGTCTTGCATTCTTGTAAACGTCGTGTTTTTAAAATGCAGAAAGACTGTTTTTAAAGTTTGGATCTAATGGTGTTTTAGCAGTGTTGTTGTTTTAGAAATCACTTTTAAACGAGTGTTGTCTTTTTAAGTCGGTTCAGATTCAGTGTGATAAGTCTTCGGTTTGGTCTACAGAATAAAAGATTTTTGTCATTACGTTGGTGAGTTGCCTTTTTTATGTCTCATTAGTAGGAACTGATGCTTTCCTTTTGGTGTTTTGTCACATCTCTTTATTTTTCAATTCAACCTGAATGAAGGAAAAACAGGAGGAACGTGTGGAAAAAAAAACCCCACCACGGTAAAAATAAGAGCAAAACTTGATTCAAAGTCTGAAAAATGTGTTTTATTATGTTTATACAGCATATTGTTATAAGTATACATATTTTTTGCTTAATTCACAAAATTTTTTAACATATCCCATCTGCTTACTAGGTGATTGAAGTCACTAACCACAATATGACATTGACTGTCTCAGAAGAGAGGTTGTTGAATGGTGACTGTGTTTCGTGGATTATTAATCTGTGGTCTGGTAAAATCACAAATTCACTGTAAACGTGGGTCGTTTCATTGTCATTGGACTCCAGGAGTGGACTGGATTTTACTGCATTAACTTTGACTTGGACTTTCAGTAAACTTCGCGCCAACTCCTCTAGGTTTCACAAATTTCAACGTTCTTTTTTCGACTGCTCGGTCTCCAGCTGTCAGTACAGTACTCCATGAGCGAACTTAAAGGGATAGACCGAGTTTTACCTGTTTGAATAACTGACATGGCCAAGTCCAAAAACCAACAGAGACCCAAAGCATAAACTTGTCAATAAAATTCTATACTTGTCTTTTTTATATACCAGCGGTTCCCAAAGTAGGGGCCAGGCCCCTCATAGGGGTCATGGAGCTCTTTGTGTTCTTTGTCACACAGCAAGTAAAAAGCACTGATTGGTTATCTTCTTCTATCTAAAAGAGATGTCAGTTTCTCTTTACCACACTTGGAAAAAAACGCACACTATCCCTTTAAGGAGGATTCAATGATTTTAACACTTTGTTCTCAAATGGATTTCCTCTCTCTCTCGGGACTTGCAGATAAAGATTTTCCTGCCACATTCTACTGTTAACATGTGCTTTCTTCCAACATCCCTCTCTCCAATCTATCGCCTTCTCCCACTGAGAAAAGAAATATTTAAATAAAAACTCGGCGCACACAGACTTGGCGCTGTTGCATCATGTGACGTCTGCCAACCTTCAGTGACTGAAAATAATGAAGATGTTGCAACAGGCCCAGTTCTTTATCAGCTGCATCGGTAAAACTTGATCATCAACGACGACAACTACGAAAAAGGCATTTCCTGGGTTTTCCCATGATTCATTGTATGCTGCTTTGTCATCAACCTGTCCTTTTCCTCACAGAAAAACTCACCAGCAGACACGAGAACTAAAGGAGCCTTCTTTTTTTTTTCAAATGTGGAAAAACAAATCTATAAAAGTCAAAATAACAACATGAAACTACTATTCAAGCAACAAAGAAAAAAACAACCCAAAAGATATATTACAAATTCTGTTAGAAATAACTTATTTCACATCAGGCAATACAAAAAGTAAAATTAATAACAAGAAGGCCTAATAAAAAAAAAATCCAATTTCCCTCAGTTGTTTTCCTCACGTGTTGGCAAAGTTAATGTCCAGTCCGGTTTGGTTGCTCTCTGTGCGGTCGTTATTCCTGGTTTCTCTGGGTGGTGTGTGAGTTCTTCAAATATAGCTGTTTTTTTTTCCTTGTTTTGTTGAGGATAAGGTAAAAAAAAGACTGTTGTAATGACATGATGAGGGGATGATGGATAGTAAACAGCGGAGAGTGAGGGAAGCTCAGACGTCCACCCAGCTCTGCTCCACGATGGCTGTCACTCTCTTCTCATACTCCCTCTTGTTTTCCTGATAAAGCTGTGCAGCCTGGCTGTTGGCAGGACTGTTGGGGTTTGGCTCATCCAGCAATGACTGCGAGTAAAGAACACACTTAATACAAAATAATAAACACAATTTTACATGAATGCCTTATTGAGAAAAGTATTTTTCTTAATAAGGCATCATTAATAATCCTTTTAAGGGATGATGTAAACGACTGTAAACTGAACCCTGATGTCGCTGTATCTTATTTTCCTTGTTTGAACATTTAGTAACTTACTCTGGATGCCTGCTTTAGAGATTTATTAATATAATATCCTCTGTTAAAGGTTAGTTCTGTTCTTTTAACATAAGGTAAGAGTCTCTCGCTGTATATTATCTGAGAGTGAACATGCTGCCCTCCAGTGGAGAAATTAAAACAGAACACTGGCTGTAGCGTTCTCTGTCTAAGCCTACATTATTGTTTTTTTTTTTACTCCAAACGGGAGAAAACACATTTATTTGTAAAACAGACCTGGATGGAGGTGAGAATGGACGACACGTCGTATGTCGGACTCCAGCGATTCTGAAGGATGTCTAAACAAATACTGCCATCTGCGTAAACTAAAAAACAAACACAGACATCAAGAATAAACACTTCATATTGTTTCAAAATGAAAAACCCCATTTAGTATTTACTAAATTTGTTTGCATTTGATATTTGACACATTACACATATAACATTTAACCTTTAACTCCATTGTCAGGGATTACACAAATGCAAATACAACCATAAGTACAGGTACAGCAACAAATATGGCAAAATAAAACATACATAAAAACAAAAAGTGTAAAAACTCATGAGAAAACTATTTAAATAGTAATATAATTTAGATAGTAGAATAGCTTTTAAAAGAGTCATTTAAGAAACTTTTTTTTTCTATTTCAAACTCGATATCTGAATCAGTGAAAATGTAGGTTGGTTTGCTTTACTACTCACCATTTGGGTGAAACATTCTGGAGACAAATCGAACTGTGGGAGGTTTGTTAGGGTACTCCTCAGAAAACTCTATCAGAAGCTTAAATGTTCCTGTGGAAGCACAGATGGAGAGGGCATGAGGAGGAGAGGCAGAGATGAAGAAACGCAGAAAGAGAGACGCTGTTTGTTTGGTCGTTGCACTCAAATGAAATTTGGTGACAACACAGACTCGGAAAACGGAGGACAAACAATTAGGTTGCTAAAAATAACGCTGTTTTGGAGAGAATAAAGGGAATTGCTCACTGAAGTGCAGACAATGGCTGCCTGAGAAGAAGATAAAAAGGAGAAAATAACAGGTGGAAAGACAGCACTCATCTCAAATAAACACAGGAGAGGTAGTTTTATGTGAGTTTGTATTTATTCAATAAGTGGTCACTGTCAGGTGGAGAGAATCAGAAACTTTAGAAAAAAACAATGTGTTATGTTAGGGTAACACAAACCATGAAGTAAATCGAAGTTATAAACACTGACTTTCAAAGCACTCAGGTAAAAGTGTCAATAAAAACAATAACTTGTCAACAGTCCTTGAAACAATATATGCATGATTTCTGCAGGTGCTGACATGACGTGTGCTGTATGTTTGGAGTACTGATTCCCTGAGTGTATAACCCACATAATCAACCAAATAAAGAAGAACTCACCATCTTCGAATGGCGTTCCCACAGGCCTGTCAAAAAGGACAAGCAGAAAGAAAAAGAAAAAAAAAGAAGAAGAAGGAAGGTTTATCTACACAGTTTGAATTGTATTAGCTACTACAAACATATATGCAGAGAACAACTAGTACTTTGATTTGCTTTTTCCTGGTTGTTACTTACATTTGTGATGAATATGTATATGTATATATATATATATATACATATATACACACATATACATATATATACATACAGTATATATATACACATATATACACATATGCATATATATACATATATATATATATTACATTGCATTTTATACCTGATATTTCACGTATGATGTTTTTATTTTCAGTATTTTCACTGTCATACCACTAGCATGAAGATCCATTAACATCCTGTGTTTCTAATCGGCTCTTTGTCATAAGTGTGGTGGGTATTATAAGGAATTGTTACAACGTACATGGAGCATGTACGAGCATGTACGTATAAAACATGGAGCATGTGACCATGACGCAGCAGGTTAAGAAAGGAACAGACACATTACAATGACAGTGACGCTGTGAAGGGAGTTGGGTGGAGTTGGATTTAGAGTATGACTCACCCAAAAATAACTGCGTTCCAAAGCATGATGTTGTTCTCTGATGGTGCTCCACTCACACCGGTGGGTGGATCTTCCTGAAGTCTGTAGAGAAAAAAAAACAAAAATGAATCACAAAGAATTAAAGGCCAGAGACGAGGTGAAAATAACAATACAAACATTAAAGATGAAGAGCAATAAAAGTCAAAGTGACAGACAAAAAAAAACAGATGGGGAAGGAAGAGACAGAGCTGAGAGGTGATAGTGTGAGGTTTTAATTATCGTCTTGACAGCAGGATAATTATCAGTCAAAACACAAACTGCTGTGTGGACGTGACTGCAGTTGGCAGCCAGGCTCGCAGGATTAAGAGCATCGTGTCCATCCTGCTGTTAGGCATGTGTCCGTTCACATTAGCTATACCATTAGCACTCATTTGAACTGATGCTGTGCCACCAGCTTTTAGGATAACACATAAAATACACATTAGGATTGAAGGAAAAGCAAGCAAGCAAGTTACTCAATCACTTTCTATAAATCACAGAGCTACATGAAATAGGTTTAGGGTTTGGAAAAAATAAAAAGGTGAAGGGACTTAGGATGCAAAGTCAAGGTGTGGAAGTAAACCAAGCCACTCTGCAGATTTTCTTACATGGAATAAAAACTTTGTAATCCATTTGTACCAACTGGGTTTCTTAAAAAGTTTGGTCTCAATTATGTACAGGTTTCCATTGATAAAATAATCTGTAAATCTTCATTCTCCATAGAGGAAATTTGATTGTAAATATCCTGCTGTGCATTACCCTTTCTATCACACTATTCTACTCTGTCTTGACTTAATCCAATGGCCAACTCCAGTTTCTATGTCTTGACTTAATCCAATGGCCAACTCATTGACATTCATAAAAAAAGTTTTTTTTTAAAAAGATTGACATTATGTTTAGAAATTGTGGTTTTATACAGTTGTTATCACTGAATATGGACATTAGCAAAATAAAAATGACAATCAGACACAGAGATGTGTCTTATCATTGGGATAAATATTGCTCAACAGTTGGAATGAAAAGGATTGGACTATGTTGATGTTATATAACCTTTCTCTGGTCAAAAACGAAAGGCGAAGAAACAGCACATTTGAGAACTTCCTGTTGGACAGACTATTTCTTTTATATATATAATCATTATATATCACCCCAAGGAAAGACCATTTGGAAACAGAGCATGCTGTTTATCTTTATGTTGACATTTGTCACCAAAAATAAATCATAAAACATATTGTAAATACATTTTTGCTCCGACTCCACAATGAAAACTGCCCAGAGCTGTTTTTGACAGACAGAGTAAGTGCTGAGCAAAAATGCCACTGCAGCAACTGCCTAGCAACAAGAACGTCAACAAGTCAGAGCATAGGCTGCAGGTCAACACTGTAAATGTTCTGACATTGGTTAGTTAAGCTTTGGATAGTGCAAAATATAAAACTGAAATCAGTTTCCCACGACACAGATTTAACCTGTAGCTCTCTGTCTGCTTTAAAATCTTGTTGAATGAGATCATATAGCTGTAAAGGCAGGCCAATGTGTGTGTGTGTGTGTATGTGTGCCAGTGCAAAAGGCTAGATCCATGTCCTTTGCTCCAGACAGACCCAGAACAATTAACCTAATTTACAGTAATCTGTCTTAGCTGCCTGCTGCTGGACCGGCTCTTCACTACACTTGCCAATTAAACAGACTGATAGTCAGTTTGGACTCGGGACATGGAAGGGATTATTTTCAAATCTGCAGAGGTCATCTTAGAAAAGTACCAGACCACACTCATTAGCTTAAATCATGCCATCAAAGTTTGTGGCTTATACATCTGTTTATAATTTGTTTTAAACTGTTTCTTTTTGTAAAAAAATACTATTTTAGCATCTGTCTATAAAGCCCTTTTTAATATATATATATATATATATATATATATATATATATATATATATTGGTTCCCAGTTTTGTTTCTGTTTATGCTGCTATTTTTAGACGGCTTATTCGAGTATCACTTTAACACCAGTGTTCAAACGTACTGAGACAAAAATATCACAGTGTATTGTTGCCATCCAAATAACAACGTAGCTCATTTTCTTGAAACGTACTGTGCAAATAACCCGAATTAAAGGATCAAACACTCAGGTCTCAAAGGAGTTAGACAGCTTTGGTGCAGACATACATGCTGATCCAGGAATGTGTCTTTTTCTTCTGCACTACTCTGTGTGTTACAGTTTTACACCTGGGACATGGGACAGCAGATTCAAGTTACAGTGACATCTTATCCCCTGGTTCCATTGCCCTTCTCTTGGACAGATTAGCTGAGTATCATGGCTCCAGAACTGACAGATGTGTGTAAATGGTGAACACAAGACACTACCTCGAGACTGGGCTACAAAACAAAGGGGTAACAGATTGGGAATAGCAGGTATGTAAAGCCACTCTCTGTCAGGTGAGAGTCAAGGAGGGGACACCAACCTTTTGTTATGATCTTTGCGTAAACAAACATTATTTACATATAAGGACTCCGTGCAAGCTATTTCTAAACAGATGCCTAATTTAGGAAAGACAGCACGAAGACATGGTAAACACCTAAGATTCTGGGGTTGTGCAACACCTGAAAGCCACGTTGCTGTCGGGGGGGGAGGGGGGGGAGAGGGGACTGAAACCAAACTATTTGCAGGCTGCTGGGATGTTGCTGAAAGTAAAACCCCAGAGCCTGCAGCAGCTACAGCTAAGGCCGGTTGTACCAAGACATATAGTGTGGGCACGAAGAAATGAAGCCATCTTCACATAATGCAACACAATCAACCTTGTTTAAGTTATGACCCTAAAAAGCACCATACAACAGACTTAAGCAAGAGCAGAGTGGTGAGAGAAATAAAGACAAAAGGAACATAACGTTATCCCCTGGGTATAAACAGCACTGCAGAACGCTAAACTGCCACCGACAAATAACACAAAGAGCTAAACAAAAACTGTGTCAATCATGCAAACGTCAAACACTGCGACAAAACATATCAATTTTTACATTATCATTATAAAAATTCCCTTCCATATTTATATACACACCTTAACACCGGCAGCTAATGCTAAGCTAAGCTAGCCACCGACAGCTAACAAAGCTAACAACACACAAATAACAAAAATGAAAAGGCAGTAAATACGTAGCTGTACCTTTTAAAATCTCTCATTAGCCGTCTCCGTGCCGGAGTGGACATTATTCTAATTCTGTTTATAAAAACAGGATATTAAAGCGAAAACTATCCGAAACCAAATACGGTGTTTCTTCCGCTTGTACCTCTTTTCTTCTCTCAAAACAACTGGCTACTGAGCTTTCTATGGTGACGTCAGAGGCTGCCGCCTCACAGGTACAGCCCCCTAACATGCTGTCATAACACAGGACGGAATCTGGACTTATTTGGTGAACTCTAATGCATTTGAAGCGAAAATAAACATTAATTTCAGGCCCATTAGTAATTGGCTCAAAGTATTTTGCTCGTAATCAGGCGCATTTACGTATTCATTTCGAATTATTCCGTATCAATGTAATCAATGCTTTGAAGTTTAGGTGTGTAATCATATAATAATATAAAATAGCCCTTTTTCAGGAGTTCCATTTATTTGATCAATTAAAAACCTCTAAGACGCTAATATTATTTGCTCTTTTGATGACATTCAAGAGATGAAGAGATGAGAGACTGTGGAAGGAATAGATGTAATGGAACATTTTGTTGGCAATTAAATCCCATTGAAACTTTTCACCATAGGCACAGCGTTCAAACAAAGTCAAGTTTGTGGCCATATTGTTTCATTAATGTCTTATCTAACCAAATTATATGATTTCAACAAACATCACCCATCGTGTAAGGTCACATTTTAAATATCCAAAACATACGATTTATATCTTAGAGGGTAAACATTGTGTCCTCTGGTGTATATTTATCAGTATTTGTTGTTTAAACTTTGTCTGTATTCTCGGTAATGATGTCATTTATTCCTAAAGATTGTGGACCCGGGGAGACGCAAGGCTGTGTGAGTGTTAATGCAAGATCAACAAAAATAAATGCTTTGTACATTTATTATCTCACCTTTTCCTGCTTCGGTGTCATTTTTAGAGTTGCTCTCTTGCAAAATAGGTGCAAACATTTGCTTAAGTAAAAGATGTTAGTAGACAAAACTGGGTGTTTTATCACATTACACCCTGCATTTAATGCCTGCTAACAAGGGTGCGGGTAATCAAACATTTTAGCTAACAGTTGTGTCAAATTTGTTATCCTATGACATTGTTCTGTCAAGTGACATGAACGTGTGTTATTTGATCAAATGAGACAAAAAGAGAGGAGAGGCATCATAAGCACTCAACACATTAATGTTTTAAATGTCCAAATACTCTCTTGTGCACCCATACATCAATTCACACTGCTGGAGCACATAATGAAAAACTTCATTGCAGTATACTTGCCAAATATCTTGCATAACTGTTGAAAATATATGTATTTACATATGTTTCATTGTCGTCACCCCATTTACTGTGGTAGATATTCAGCTGTAGCTGTTTAGCGCTGAGTACTTTTTATTTTGTTGCCTTAGAACACAGATAAACTCCTGGCCTTGTTAGCATTTCACTATTGTTAGAATGTAGGTCATTCATACACTCAGAAGTTCAGCAAAACAGCCTTGGCCTTTGGTGTGTTCCCTGAGGCCAGGGAATGGAAACCATGCTTCTTTATGTGATATAAAACACATTGACATGGTGTAGAATTTCATTATCAGAAAAACAAGGTTTCCATGAAAAAAAAAAACAACAACAAAGAAGTCCACTGAGATTGATAAAAAAGTACATTTGCAACATGTAGCGGAAACACAGAGCTCCTTAACAAAGAAGGTTTGATACACATCACTTTTCTCCTCCTCTCACAGATATACTACGGTTGCTTTCAGACATCAGACGCTCCTTCTCTAATGGTCCATTAGTCTCCACAAAAACCTGCTCCAGTCTGAGTGTAGGAGAAGTGATGGAGCCAACAGAACTAACAACACCCACGTGCATTAAAAAGTAGCAAAGTTTTAGGATGGTGCAGACT